ACTGGGGATCACACCCTTCCGGTGACAGTGAATGCTGGTACAGAGCTCACTGGGGATCACACCCTTCCCATGACAGTGAATGCCAGGACAGAGCTTACTGGAGATCATACCCTTCCCATGACAGTGAATGTGGGTACAGAGCTCACTGGGGATCACACCCTTCCCGTGACAGTGAATGTGGGTACAGAGCTCACTGGGGATCACACCCTTCCCGTGACAGTGAATGCCAGGACAGAGCTTAGTGTGTGCTGGGCTTGTCTTAAGGGCTTTACACATAATAACTGATTTAATTATCACCATAATCCTGTCACGTGGGTTTTATCCACTATTACTCCCATTTTTACAAATAAGGAAGTAGATACAGAGAGGTTAAATAGCTTGTCAAGGCCGCACAGGCAGGAAAGGAAAGATGGATATTCGTAAAACACACCATCGTACATCTAAGAGATGCCAAAGGACTCCGTGTCCTGAGACTTTCGGATCAAAGCCACTGCTTTCCGTGATCCTCTCAACCATTTATTTATTGCCAAGATGGAAACTTTCTCGTTTCCCTTTGTCACAGTCTTCCTAATTCACCATTTCTTTACATAATAAAAACAAACTCAAAATCTATGACTCGTAACATGTATAAAACACGTCTCGTGTTCCGACTCAGCTAAGTGCATCTGCTCAGCGTCTTCTGGTTGTTACTTCGCAAATATCTCTGCAGCTCCTGCCTGTGCCAGGCTCTATTCTAAGTGCTGAGGACGCAGCCGTGGGTAACATGACATGACCCAAGATCTTGCCCTCCTGAAGCTCACAGTCCGGAGTCTTCCGTCACATAACTTACCCACTTTTCTCCCTCAGGGATCTGGGAACTTCCATGTTTTGTTATCTTTTTATTTTCTTGTCTAGTAGGTATATTTATCTTGAAAAATGGTTCTGGTCTCTCAAGAGCTATGCTCCGTAACCTCCAATTTCCCACCTCTGGGATGTGTCTGACACTGTTCCAGTATACACTTCAATAGTCCCAGGGCAAATGATTTAATGATTTTTCACGGTAGGGAGCACCCATTAAAATCCACACCTTTAAAACCATTTTCTTACTCAGCTTTGAATTGCTTGACTCTGTTTGAAAAGCTAAAATTGCACTGAAAATATCCAGAAGCAAAGCTCCTAGCAAGCACAGGTCATGGGAGAACAGGTTAACATAAAGGCTTTGTAACGTTATGCATCAGCCATGCTCAGAAGCACCTATGACCGACCACCTATTCATGCTCCCAGCTAGGGGATCTGGGAAAACTCCACACAGCACTCACGGACGTGGGTCTCCTGCCACTGAGCTAGCAGCAAAGACTAAAATGAAAACATTGCACGGGTGAGTGTGGAGAGACAAGGGACTCACCACGAAACCTGTCTCCTGAGCACAGTCTGCCCTCATTCCCTGGGGACAATATTCGGATGCCCATGCATGACCACCGTTCTCACTCCCAAACAGGCAGTTCCTGCTCCAGGATAGGCTTTTCCTTTTTTTTTTTTAAAATTAAACATTGCTTCTGCTTTGCCTGCAGTGGCTTTTCTGTCGTCCTAGCTGACCGTGTCCTTCTGGACCTCCCAATGTTGGCTTAATCATCCCATATTCAGCAAAAGTAGCCCCTGACCACTCCAGAAGCTGGGGGTTCCACTCTCCAGGATGGCATCCTGCTGCTTTCCTCTGTAACTGTGAATAATTTGTATTTATTCTTTGTCTATCATCTGTCTTCCCCACTAGATTGTACTACACCTGTTCT